TCTCATAAAATTTGCCATCTTCTGGCTTTAAAAATAAATAACCCGTTCTAGTATAACCTATCAGAATTACTCTTCTACCAACACATCTAAATTTCGGTCCTGTTTTTCTTTGGACTTTAATATAAGCAAAGCATCCGAACCGTTTTAATTGATTGATATCATATTTATAATTAGGTGCAAATGTATGTAATGGAGATTCCATATTATTACTAGCATGTGATGTTCGATTATACACGTATGCCGCTGCGCTTACTCTTAAATCCCACATATTTTCCGGTAATTTCGAATCATATATATACGATCTAGTTTTTTTTATTACAGTCTGATTCAGCGATCCCATTCGTACAATAATTATCGTACGCGTACGATAATTTTAGGCCCTGTACGATCCATTTGGAATTTCAAAAACTTGATGACCTTTTTTTTAGGTGCACCCGCACCCCCACCACCACCCCTACCACCCCTACCACCACCACGTACGATCCGTGTACGATCCGTGTACGATCCGTATACGATCCAGTGTTCCATCTCCCTGTGGACCGCCGTTTTTATCGTTTTCATGATAGGGTTTTGAACTTGATGACTAAAAAAAAAAAAACTTGGACACTTTTTCCACATTTTGAAAATTTTGTTCGAGAAATAGTTGGATTTTTTTCGGATTTCAAATTTTCCCGGGGCGTACGATAATTTTCTTGCCGCGTACGATAATTTTACGCCCCTGTGTCGATCAAACGAACTAAAGTCTCTGGGATCACTGGTCTGATTATAACATTCGGCCACTCCGTTATGTGCAAGCGTATCAGGACTTGCAGGCTCAAGTTCAGCTCCCCATTTGTTCAGAACTTCTTTTGTATAACCTCCCATATATTCAAGTGCTTGATCACATCGTAAACGACAGACCTTTTCATCTCGACCAAGTATATTTCTAGCAGATTTTACAAAAGCTTTAATGCAAGATCCCGCTTCACTTTTATTTTTAATTGGATAAGACATTGCCAAACGAGAATAATCATCAATTACTACGACTATAAATCTGTAGCCTTAAGGATAAGAAGCTGGGCTTATAGGTCCCATAATATCACTATGTATTGTTCCCAACGGTCTAAAAGCTCTCTATCTAACTGTTTTAAAATGGCAATCGTTTAATTTTAGCTATTTTGCATACTTCACAATTATCCACGATTTCGTTAAATTCGGCAGATTTGATATCTTTCAAGCGAGGATATTATTTTTGCAAACGCCTGAGATAATTACTTGATGCATGTCCAAGTCGTACATGCCACAATAAAGCTTTATTCATTTTTATATTAGAATCATCCAAGGACATGATTTCATCTTGTGGTAATTCAAGAATCTCATTAATATCATAAATAATTCTATCTTTTACTGAATTGAAGATATCTGGTCTATTTATCTCAGTTATATTCTCAGCTGCAGAGCTTTCCTGTACTTCTTCTACAGAAGAGCTTTCAACGTCAGAAATTAAACGTCTTTCTGTACTTTCTTTAATAATTAAAGGAGCTTCACCTGTTTCAAGAGAGTTTGTTTTTCCAATTTCCCTTTTTAATTCTGATTCTTTTTCAATCTGCTTAGCATTTTTAAGTCGATTAGAACTTCTCGTAAAATACTTATGTTCATGAGGAGTTACATGTTCACCATCTGTTAAGAAAACTTTTCGACAAGATCTATTCTCATTATAGCCTGCCCCGTCACTACTTTGATTATCAAACTTGAATTCAATTTCCCAGAAGGGTTTGTTATATATCCCTGTCATAAACGACTCACAAGTCTTGGGATTGTAGATATCAATTATTTTATCATTTAAATAAATTTCAAGACTCTTTTCTACTAGTTTTCTTAACGAGAGCAAATTTACCGATAGATCTTTAACATATATTACATTGTGCAACTCGCGCGTTTCTCCATTCTGCAAATTTAATTTTACTGTACCTATACCGTTAGCTTGCAAGTCTGCTTGAGAATTTTTATTAGCACATTTAATCGATTTAACGTCTGATTCATTCAATCTTTTGAAAATTAATTTAAAATTTGACAAATGCTCTGTAGCACCCGAGTCCACGATAAACCGTTCAAGTGTATTTGTACGATCCGAAATGATCGTACGGTAACTGGCTGTATTAAAATGCGCGCGTTCGATTCTATCGATTAATATAAGATTCTAGATCGATACTCGTTACGAGTATCGAACGACCACAAGCGACTATCAAAGCACTAACCTCTCCTCTCGCATCTCTACCTCTCGCACCCCCACCATATTGCGCTCTGCTGGACCAGTTCAAAGGACCATTCTTTCTATTCCACCACCGGACGCCTACAACGATACATCTTCAGCATCTAAGGAACACAGAAGTCACAAGGAACAACAAAGGGAACATCCCAACCTTTCCGATTGTGAACGTAAGCCTATTCAGCCCCACAACCTTTAAGATTGTGATCGCTATATGTGAGGAGTGCGAGAGGTGAGATCAGTCCATTATATAATTTTCTCGCGAAATATAGTTTCCCGCGTGGCAATGCCACGTGGTAGATTTTCATTATTGTATCTTACAAATATCATCCAGGGTTTTTATGCTACAAGGCTTTTCCCTGACGAGCCAATAAAGCTTCGCATCTTTTATTGGCTCAACCACGTGTTTTATTTTACACCTGAACCTAACCCTTTATTCTCCACATCATAGCATATACGAATTTGCCAGAGGACTCTTAGTCGAGAAATTTGGTCATAACAGAAGACTTTTCTGTTTTATTTATTTACTGTTAAATTTCCTTGCAGCTTCTTTTTATTCATCGTCCAAAAAACGTAATTTATTTGAATATGCAATTGCCATTGCTACCGTAATTTCGAATGATACGTCAGGATAATTATCTATATAATTTTTTATTCTATTGTCATTGAGTCCATAACGGAATTGGTCGCATAATATTTCATCCTTACGATCCGTATAATTGCATTGATCCATTATTTTCAATAAACTTTCAGCGAAACTTTTGACCGTTTCTTGATCATATTGCTCACGACACACGAAACATCTTCTGTGTGAAGAAAATTGTTGAAATATTATATGTTAAGTAAATTTAAGCTTATATTTAGAATGTAGTTGTCAATATATATAACCTTCATAATAAGTATGTGTAWAACGATATTGACTGTTGTGATTGTTTCGTAAGCTAACCGAAAATATTCCGAATATTCTCGAACCGGAAATCGGAAAGAGTTTCTTGATTTAAATGTATTTAGAATAATCTAGAAACTTCGAGAAGGTTCGACGGAAGTGATTAGGACCATTGGTGGGGGAATGTATATATAAACACGGTGAAAAGGCAGCGACAGACCTTCTTGTTTCGGTGAGATTAGTTACATGTGTTCTATTATATTATATACTTCTTCTAATAAAACTCTTTAAAAGTATCTTCGAGTTCTTTTCTTAACATGGTAGCAAAGCATGGCTACGTGATTACGTGATTACTATATTAAAAAAGGTAATAGTGTTTACAAGTAATAAGAAGAMAAATCCGCTCGTCTAAGAAAGTAAAAAAAAGTGCAGGTGTGAAATGAAGTTCGTGCTTAAATAAAATAATACAGGAAAACTCATATAAGCATACAGGAAAGCTTAATGAGTATCGMAGAAAAATATTGGTATCTGAAAGATAAAACTCCATGATGGGTGTATACAGTTACGAAGGAATAGGTAATTGTGTTTCTGTGCGTATTTGAAACGGAATCAGTGTTAAAGTGTGTACCCGTTGACGATTTAAGGAAGCTGTGTAAATATACTAAAGAGAAAGGAAAAGCAAGCACATAAAATAAAGAAGGGTTAATACAAATTTTGTCTGAATATCATAAAGAGATATTGATATAATTGAGGAATTTATGCCCCAACAGTATTATTTTTGTAATTTAAATTAAATTTACTCGAATATTGCTGACATTTTTCAACAAACAGAACATTACCCTTTTCATTTAACTCATACTCGAAATTCTCACCTGAATAGATGTTGGCACCTTGACCACCTCCTTAGCCATTTCTTTAGCCCCCACGTTTATTAAACTTGCCTCTCTTTGCTCCGTGGCCAAGCTTTCCACCACGGCAACATTGATCGAGCTTGCGCTCACCGTCAGATTTAGAGTCGTCCTCGTGCTTTTGATTGAACTGACCTCTAAAACTGCCTGATTTGCCTCGGTAGTAAGTGTTAGCAAACCCGCGGCCTTTCTGGTTCTATGATGAACCACCTGGCTGTCGATGAGCTGGTAAGCTGACCAAAGAGCATTGTTTTGCTTTGTGACCAGGTTTGTCACACAGATGGCAGTTGTTTTTCTTTAAAGTTCTGCACTTCGATGTAAAGTGTCCTGGCCTTCTGCAGTTCTTGCAGTAGCTTTTAAATTTCTTTTCTTGTGACTCAGTCCACAATGCAGTTGTTGTTAAATGCTCTTTAGATGACAGCCTTTCAGTCTCCTCCTTAGTAAGAAAGGCTTTTAATTGAGCATACGGTAAACTACTTCCCTTGTCGCTCTTTTTGGGGAAGTTTACGCCTTGAACACTTGGTACTAACTTGTAAATAGCATTGTAAAATGCATCTCTTTTTTCTTCTTCTGGTAACTTTTCAGTTCCCGGAAGGTCGTCAAATGTTCGTACAATTTCTTCAAATTTGTTACAAAAATCTTTAACTCTCTCTCTACTTGGATTATATCGTATGTTATGCAGCATCTTGCGAATAGAACAAGTCGATACGGTATTTTCAAGAGCCTTTAAATCTTTTAATTTATCAAGGATCTCAAGTGGACTTTCCTGGTCAATCAATACGATTTACGCGCTATACCTTTTACTGTGCCAGCTGACGATTTTTGTTATTTAAATAATTATATTAACTATCAACTCTACAAATTTTAGCTTAAAATGAATGAAACTCAAAAAATTTTTGACGTGTTTTCGGTGCTCCCGTTGGCTCACCCACTGCTAATGCGCCAGCTGACGGTCACTATGCCTTACAGCATAACTAACTTTAACATTCTACTAATTATGGTCAGAGGTAAAATGACTGACAAAGAAATGTCACTGGCTCCCGGGCTATAACGCCTTTTCTTAAATCAGTTACTTCATTACATAACGACACAGTTTGTACGATGTAATACTTAGTTTCTTATTGAATAGTTACGTTGACACCATTAAGGCCCATTGATTTAAAGAGTTGGCAGAGAACTTACCTTCTGGGGGTAAATTTTGGACAACTCCGGGTACAAAAATTTTGAAGAAGGAATAAAACAATTTTTCGTTGCCGTCGAACGAGAAGAATGGAAGTTCGATACTCTTTGTGACTTATATAACACATTAACAATTACCTAAGCAGTTATATTTTGTAATACAAAACGTAAAGTCGATTGGTTGACGGAAAAGATGAGGGAAGCTAATGTTACAGTTTGTTCTATGCACGGTGATATGCCTCAGAAAGAAAGAGATAATATTATGAAAGAATTTATTTCTGGACAAAGGTAAATATTAATTTTAAATAATAATAAGAATTTGTTATTTCATTATGTTGAAATTTTGGATATTTATTTTATTCTCATTTATTTTTGTAGCCGAGTTTTAATCACAACTGACGTTTGGGCCAGAGGAATTGACGTTCAACACGTATCTCTTGTTATTAATTATGATTTACCAAATAATCGTGAATTGTATATTCACAGAATAGGAAGA